AGAATCAAAATATTTGCGTTTTTTAAAATTTGTAGTTTATTGAAAAAGTATGAGTATTTAATTTCGTAAGCTTATTTAACCAGCTCGCACAACACGTATCATAATATGCACTGATTGTGCAAGCTAGTTAAACTGAACTCAAAATTTTAAGCAGGACAATGAAATGAGATTTAAACTGAAAATTATTTTTAAATAATCGCATTTTATGCCTAATAAAAATTGCACTGTATATTTAAATAAATCATGCGATAATAAAGACGTATAAATATTCTATATAAAAAAGGTTTTTTATTGGATCTAAAAAGGCATGCTTAAAAACAACATTAAATACCCCTCCCCCCCCAAAAAAAAAGAAAAAAAAATTCTGAAAGGTTTAAGACTTTAATGGTCGCCCAAAAGGGTTTCTTACAGTTTATTACGCTCTTGCTAAGCTATCAGTTTACCAGTTTGCTGTTACACCCACTTCTGCTAAACTTTTTTTTTGTCTTTTTAGCTTTATTATTAATCATCTTTTACTTCAGACTTACGCCATCTACAATTCAATAGCAAAATCACAAAAATTTTAAAAGCTACTTTACTTTTAAAGCACTAAGCATAGTAGCATATGTTTAGTATTCCCAAAGCAGTGTTAAGTCTTCACATACATTTTTCTATTTTTTTCAGTTTTCTTTCAGTTCATCATATCAATGTTCAGTTTTCCAAGTTAGATGGTTTACAAAACTATTTCTGGATTTTTATTATTAACGTTTTGTGTATTAACTTTATTATTAAATATCGCGTTCTTCGTGTTTATGCCGAATTCAATTTAACAGCAAAATCATAAAATATTTAAAAACAATATATCTTCACTATTTCCGACAGACAGCCTCTCGTGGTGGAGATAAAAATGTTTTATTACTTACAGTTCTGCCACCGCTCGCTTTCAAAATGTTGTTTTTTAATCAAAAATTCATTAGAGTTTTACCAAATATAAAATAAATAATCAAAAAATATATAACGTCATTCCGTGAAAATGGATATTTTTTATTAGGCAGATCATGAAATAAATGCATTTTATTGTTTAAATAAATCCGATTCAAAGTAAGAAACGAATATTCTTAAGAAATGCATCTATTGTTTTCAAATAGCTTAGTTTGTTAATCCATAACAGACAGATTCAATTCGAAAGAAAAATATTTTACATTTTGCCGAATGGCAACAGACTCGAATGAAGAATGGAAATGACACATTTACAATGGTTCGACGCAAAATCCCATTTCGGGACTAATAGCCTCTTTTGAGCTAATAAAAATATGCGGTGACTTTACACGGAAGATTTGAATTTTGGGTAGATTAGTTCAATTCAAACACATCTCAAACTCTTCACATTTAAGCGATGTTAATTTTACCTATCCTTTTTTTTTCCTTCCCTTTCTTTAGTTTTTATTCAAATTTCCTTCTGCAAAACCTTAACATTTTATTAAACTGTATCATTTGATGATAATCTTACGTTACAAATTTCACAATATAGAACTCTGGTAGAACTGAACCCACAAACCTCAGAGAAATCCTCGAGAAAATGGAAAAAAGAAGTTTATAAAAATTGCCCTTAAATGTTTCGGAAAAATAATTTAAATCTGTTATAATTTGGCAGTCGGTTAATTCAGTATCATTAACCGTTCATGAATTTCCTGAAAGTTTAAGAGTTTTTACGTTTTACTGCACATATGTTTTATGATAACTGTTTATATGATGTGATAACATTATTAATATATTCTAAGAAGAAAGTTTTCAGTTGTTAAGAATGGCAAAATAAATGTTAAGATTTTTCTCATTTCCAAACAAATCTTTTGGTAAAATTTCCAATATAATTTCATAGGGCTTTTAAAATAGGATGAATATCAGCATGCAGCTTTCTCATCAAATACGCCACTTGTATGCACTCAAATTGCTGAAATATTTGCATGTATCGATATGTGACTGATAAAAACGTTTTTAACATTCTTCACACTCTTTATCATAACTTTATTAATTACCTTTCTTTGTTTTTGAAGGTGTTTCGTGGCATTTTAATGTTATATCATGCTTCGCAGTTTTACTTTTGAAATCATAATATGATTTTATGCACTTGTTCAAATCAGCATTCATGATTTTATTACTTCGTATAATTGAATAAGTCTACGATTGTTTTAAATCATATCACCTTCTCACTGCTTATCCTTGGACACGAGAAGAACAATAACAACAACATTGTTTTAAACTTGTGTTCGGCAGTAATTCGTATCTAGTTTGCGTTTTGGTAGTATCTAACATGTGTTTGACGCTTATATCTTTCATGTTATATGCCCAGAAGTGCTCTACAACTACCACCATTTTTTAGCATATGAATTATATTTTATGAAAATTATGTGATAAAACTTTCCTTAAAAATATGCTCCAGGCACCAAAAAAAACCATACCTTAGAATTATATCCTTAATTCCAGGTAAATTTAAATATTATGCAGTAATTAGGTTTTAAATTTATGCGTACAACTAATTCAGGGCAGAAAGAGCATTTCGGTATAGGGGGCTTTTAAATTGACTACAGTTGCATTTAAGTTTTGCATGCAAATAATTAGGAATCGCTTTTTGTTTTGTTTCGAGTAAAGTAAACCAAATGAGGTAATCCAGTCCAAATCTTCAAATGAACCGCAATACATCGATTACTTCAGTTCTTTCTAACATTAATTTTTCTATTAGTAAAAGAATATCTAAATGAATCCCGATATTTGGAGAACTAACTATGTAAAGCATTGTATCAATAATACCATCTTCAACAAAGTGAAGTGCTTATTGATATTTTATTAATGAAACGTATCCAATAGAATAAAGCAAATTTTCGACTTCATGTTACGTTAAAATTTCATGTGCAACCTTTCTCAATTTTTTCCATTTGCAGAGAAGCAGTACTACCCAGAAGTCTCGTAAATGTTTCTTGGCTACTGAAAGTTTGAGTCATTCAAAGACAACTCGTTTTCTTTTCTACTCTCTCTTTCATGTCATTTAAATGGAAGAAAAGTGAGTCAGACCTGCAAGCAAATTTTCAGAAAACGAACCTTTTGACTGAACTAATATTTTCGTATTATATATCAGACAGCATTAGTCGTTACATGATTTGTTAGCTCAGATGTTTGAAAACGATTTACCTTATTTTACTATTTTTTTTTTTAAATAAAGGAAAGAAAGAAAAAAGAAAAGAAACTTATATGTCAAAATATAATTTCGCAAGTTTACAATTCACATCAGTTTAACAAAAATTAACCCTTTTATATTCTGAACATTAAAAAAATTGGAAGGTTTTAGAGTTAATACCGCTAATCATCAGGCTAAAGTGTTTCTTTCTGTATTTCAAAAGAGGAGAGATGTAGAAGTTGAGCATATCTATAAAATCTTTAATAGTCTCTTATTACAAATACTACAGGTTATAAGTTATTTCTTCCTCTATTAATTACAGCCGGCTTATGTTAGAGCACCCAAATGTTAATAAAACATATTTATCATTTATGTTTTAATTTTAAAGTTACAAGAAATTATTTTCTAAAGTTTATGACAAGATATATTATTTAGAACATTATTGTTACAGTATATCAATGTAAGAACACTTAAAAATGTATAGAAAATCATTTTCCATACAACCCCTTTCAATTTCTTGCAAAATAACTGAAACTCTTGGATTGTCTTGTATATAGGTCCATCTTTTGTTGCAGCCAATACGCTATATTAAAAAAAAAAAAAAATTCTCCTAATGGGCATGCGGCATACAAATCAGCAACGCGAAATATAAGAAAAAGTTGTTCGTTTGCAAATGGCGTCCATTGAAGGCCAAAAACGTAAAAGCATATTAAATAACTTTATTACATGTTCTTTATAAATATTCGAAATAATGAAGGTTTTGAAATGCATGTTCGCAAACGTATGGCTTAAATGAATCTATAATATGTACTTTTAAAATTATTAATTTACATTTTCTATAATTTTATAATGCTAGGAATAATTTTTAACTTTTTTAACGTGCAAGAGTAAATCGTGAACTATACTAAAAAACACGTTATAACAAGAAGCTAAATAGATAACATATTTCTAAGCAGAAAGACTTTGATCAATATTTTTTAGTTAGTCAATTATTTTATTGAGAATAAATTGTCATCTATTTTTATGATTTCATCATTTTTATTCGCATAAATTTAATGTACCAGCAATATTTTAATTCAGAAAATATTAAAGACTATACTTAATATCTGTTTCATTTTGCATTAAACAGAATTGGCAATTGTTAATATCTTTTGTATTTTTTATGGAAAATCCGTTCTTTAAATTAGATAAAGGTACCAGGTTTAAAAGGCAATCAAAATGAATCATTAATTACATTTAATGCTTCGAAAATATATATTTTATCAGAACAAATAATTTTCTGTACTTAAACACTAAAAAATATCTCACAGACACAAATTTGAATTTGAAACTTAATTATTAAAGACCACTGTAAAATTTAAACATTTCATTTCAGTAAACAGCTTATTATTTTGAATTAAGAACAAATGTAATATTTTATCTCGAAAATTGATTTAATAAGAAATATATTAAGATTCTTCAATATTCAAAGAAAATTGAATCTATACTCAAGAATAAAATTTATTGGCATTGGTCACTTTATTCGTTAACAAAAGACCAATAATTTAAAAACATATTTGCAAATTTAACGCATTTTCCCTTCCTGTATATTTATGAAAAAAAAAAAAAAAAGAGATAAAACTGCATCTATTTCATGCTGATTGATACATAAACAAAATGCACACTCAGGCTAAATTTCACTTATTTCTAAATTACTAAATGGACAAAAGCAAACATGTTTAATACGACCGAAAATCCAGGAGTCATTAAAACTTTAAGCTTAAAATTCTTCCAATAATACCACTTTCAGATTACTATTCACGCTCGAAACATAAACAGTTTGGGAAGATAACGAAAAATATTCACTTACCCAGAATCTTACTGAGGTCAGCATTGTGGAGATCGGGATTTTCATCTGCTAACCGTTTTCTTTCCACTTTGGCCCACACCATAAAAGCATTCATTGGCCGTCGGATGCGCTGCTCCTGGTTCGCTCGGCCTTTGCCGACACCAGACGGAACCTCTGCCGGTGATTCCGCCGCTGGCATGGGGGAAGAACTTCCCACTAAATCTCCATGTGTGGGGGAACTGCCGTTAGGATCTGTGGTCGCCGCCCCCTCCCCATAGCGCCCCATCTCCGCTGGACTCTCCATTGACGATAAATCCGCTGGAGCAGAGTTAATCCTTGATAACATCCGTGGTCCATAAGGTCCCTGACTCGATCCGTCTGGCATCCAGTTTGCTGTCGTATCGTCCGGAACGCCATATGTCACCATAGTAGCCGGATATTCCCCGGATTGTTGAGGCCATGCCCTGGCGTAAGGCGAGCCTGACATATAATAACCAGCAGGACTCGACTGTTGTTGTCGAGATGTTCCCGGACTGCCGGTGTAGTCCTCGCAGCATCCGGGAGATCGGTGATACAGATCCTGATTTATCATAGAGGACATGGGATCCTGGGGATGGTAAGGCGATCCCGGATCGTTTGTAGGATCCTGCTGATAAGCGGCCATTCCGTCCTCTAGCAGCATGCAAAACAGGAGTGCGTTCGCATTAAAGATCACTTGTTGAGAGCAGCAGCCAGACGGATGCAACAGGTACGAGTGCGTATCTTCGTTTGGTCTGTTTTTCCTCTAGCGAGATCGACTGCGGCCGCGAGGGATCACGGGAAATCTTGAGGTAAAACTTTCAGCCAATGGGAGAGCCGTTTACTTTTCGATCTCAGGTGAGGCGATGTTTCACTCTCTCTTTCTCGGTTTGCTCTCTCTTTCGCTCTTCGTTCTCACTCAGAGTTGGTTAAGTTGGCGAGGGATTAAATGGCTATAGATGAATCGATTGCGATTATGTGTATGAAAAACTTCTTTCTGCAGTAAACGACGATGTGATTCGAAAGAGCATTCAGACAACTGGATGGAGTATTGAAGAAATAGAAGTTAAATCTCTAAATAGTATTTAAAGCTGATCTAAGTAACTAACTTATTTCAACGACAAATCATTGGAAATAAAAGTAATTTGTATAAAAAAAGATGTGTTTATTAGAACTATAAAAAGAGAGAATTTAGGGACGAATGAAGATAATATTATTATAATCTGTATATTTTCGATCCTTTTTTAATCGATGTATAGACGAAACTTCTAACATTTACAATTCACATCAGTTACAGGAACATAAATTTTTTATACTCATAAGTATTTTATTTAACATGACAGAATGAGCAGGTTATTCATGACAGAAAAGAAATGATATTCTATAAAACATTATTCGAATATGTACTCTCTTGTTCATAAGAAAACTATAAATGAGTACATTTTATCGCGAAAATAAATTATGTTCATTTGCGAACATAATAAACTTCATAACGTATTTATGTTCATTAACAGTTATTTAACGTTCAGAATCTTTACTGCCACTTCTCCCTTTCCGTTTTCTTGCCACAATGCAAATTTTAACCTGTCAAAAGCCATGTTACTAGTTAATATTATATGCTAGCATGACTGTCTATGGCGTTGCTTTGTTCTTGCAATTTGTACTGGCACGCCGGTGTAGGTTAGAATCAACTTACTCGTTGAATATCTCTGCATAACTTTTGGCTGATTTCTACTTATATTTAGTTTAAATTTGAAATCCTTACTTTTTGATTTATAGCCATAAAATGTTGGCTGAATTTGTAAGCACCAGGAGTTCTTTTTGCTCAACTATTTAAATTCTTAATAAAAAGTTTCTTTACACCCTTCTTACATTTCTTGTTACTTATTTAGACATAGCACTAAGTCGCTTATATCTACACAGAATCTTGATTCAGTGTATGCCACCAAAACAAGTGAATCTCTACAAATTATTAAATATAAAGTTCGTTAATAAATCAGTCTAACGGTTAAAAATTTATTTTAAGCTAGTCACCACAAATTACTTTATGAGTCAATTCTGCGTCCCATACTGTGTTAATCTTGCATTACTTATGTAAAACAAATGAAAAAGTTCTTCAAACTGCGCAGATCTGTGGTTTGTGTCAGATTATTGATGCGCCCCGGTATGTCGAGAACAATAAGATTCATGCAGAACTTTCAACTCAGTGCCTTTCACTAACACCTAGACAGGAATTTGATTTTAATTACTTGGCTGGTACAAACTAATATTTCCATGCTTTCATATATAGTAAATATTTCTTCTTTGCTATATTCGTAATTCACGAATTTTCGGTAGAGGTTGAGCTTTGAAGGAAGATATTCTTATGTATGCACCACTAAATAACGAATTTGCTTAACAATATCTGCTCAAAAAAAGTTCTGCTCCCCACCGAAAATAAACTAATAAAAAGTTGACAATTGCTTTGGTTATTTCTTCCTTAACCCGCGAGTACGCTCGCGAGATCTATTTGATCCCACCTCCATAAATAGAATGCCTCTCTTAAACCATGATTCACTATCATTTCATTTCTTCAGTAGCTGGTATCAAGGTTATTTTAGGTCAGATTTCAAATTTTTAGTTTCTTTACTTGCTAAATAATTACTTTAAATATTACTTATATTTAAAGGGGCATATTTACCAAACACCTTGTTCAAGTTCAAATTTCTTGAACTCACGAACCGAATTTTTCATTGGATTTTCTTGTCTCCATCTTTTGATTTCTATAAATGAAAAGCAGTCATTTTCTGATGCAAAACGAAAGATCACACCTTTTTAATGTGTCAAAAATTTTACAATTTATTAGAAAACGTCAGTATTAAGCAATGTCAAAAATTTTGGATTATTAGATTTCTCAGAATTTCATATTAATTTTGATGAAAATATTATAAGATTACTTTATGTGGTATACGAATAATAAATAATTTATGCTTTAAAAAAGGAAATATCTCATGTAATAACGATTATATTTTAATACAGAATATATTATTTTCCTATCTCATATATTATTTTCCTATGTCAGAAATAAGACAAAAATAATTAAATAAAAAAAATCTATATTACTTCCCAATGACTTCTGCTTGGTATTAATTTCCATTTCTTTTAATTATTTATTTCAGTAATTATGAGAAAGTTAACCTAAGATACATTCTTTTACGAATAAGAACAGCCAGTCTTCATTAAATATTTGCATTCCACTGATTTTTGTTTGCTTTTAATTTTCATTTATTGTTATTTTATTGATTTTAATGGCAATATGATAGATAAAGCAAGATAACGAACGATCTTTGAGATATAAAAAGCCAAAGCTATCCTCTGTAAAGCAACAAATAGGCTGGAGTTACTCTGTAACATTATGACATTAAAAAATCTAAGTAGCTGTCTAATTTGTCTTCTGCTAACCTTTCTTGTTGCGGAGAATTACGATTCTAACAAAATAAGCTCAAGTCTAATAATAATACACTAAGAGTACTGTGGCCGAGTAGATAAAACCATTGAACAATAGCAATTTGTTCCGACTCATCTGTTTCAAATGGGTAGACTGCATAGGCGTTTTTATGTTTTTCCTTATACTTAACATAAATGCAAACTAGTTTCCCTTAAGTTCTCCAAGAAGGCACTTCATCCATGGCAGACAGCTATCGCGTTCTGTACTTCAATAAACTCAACCAATAGAAATTTTTATTTTAGTCAGCTGAGTTTTCGATCAAATGTGATCAAAGGAACTTTATACAGATATAGGTTTTATGCGACTGTAGCCAGTGGCTATAGTATGTTCTTTGAAAAGTGTATTTTGTTACTGTTCAAATCCACGTGCTTCTGATCCGCATCTTGTGTGCTTTCGCATTACTGTCCTAGTCGAAATTTCCAAGCCATTTTTTTTTTTTTTTTTTTTTTTTTTTTTTTTATCTACTCTGCCAAAAGAAATTACTAGTTTTATTTTTCTGTTTGTTATTTTTTTAACAGATTAATAGGAGTTTTTACGTTTTTAATGTTTTATTTACAACTATGCATTAAAAAACGTATACAGAGTAAATTTATGTATGATTATTTTATTTACAACTATGCATTAAAAACGTATACAGAGTAAATTTATGTATGATTATCATTTTCCTTCAAAATGTACCAGTGTCAATAGCTGTTGTGAAGTAGCCAACAATTGAGACCTAGGTTTCCATTTCTGTTGGAAAGAAAAATTCTAAGTAAGGTAAATCTAAAGCAGGAAAGCCTCTTCAAGCCGAGTTCCTTGAGAAAAAACGGGAAGTTACACTGTAAGCTACTGTGTGGCATTCCTTTGATTTCTGACCGTCAAGGACTTGACAATATGGAACTATGCACGCTATACCCAACCCTAATGACAGGTGCAGATAAAAGTGGGTAGGACACCAGAAGTTCACAACTGGTCGTCATGTTAAGGGGAGTTGGAACCCCCTATACCGACAATGTTAAATTGGCCATTTTCGATGCACCTTTTCTCAAAATCTGCTGTAGACATACGTTTGAAATTTTTTGTGTAATTAAAGTACACCTATCTGATTACACTTCCCCGTCCTGTATTTATTTTATTTCATGCTGTCCATAGGGCCACATTGCAGAAATACTTTCTTGGGCATGCGGACGATACGGCATTACCGTATCGTCCGCATACGCACACTATCAATCAACAATTACAGGAAGCTTCGACCATGGTAGAAAAGTGGTGTACGACTTTGGAGAATTGCTATTAATGCACAAGTCGCAATTATTATTGATAAGGAGGAAAAATATACAGTTGACTATTAATAGCAAGCTCTTCATATTCTCTGAAGAGATTCCTAGAGTTAGTAAGGCGAAGTATTTAGGAGTAATGTTTAAATGAAAGATTAAAATGGGGAGATCATATTAACAGAGGTCAGAAGAAAATTTTTCCTGTTGTAAATAGTCTCATCCCTTATGGGTAATTATTCTAGCTTAGACTCAGGAAAAGATGCTAGTTTATATCAGGCATTAGCCCATTGTGACTTCTGCGTGCCGGCTGGTGAACGGGTACCACTGAGGATATAAAAAGACTTCAAATCACGCAAAACAAATCTTAAGCTTATAACCCATGCTCACTTTTTTGTGAGCACTGCTACACTGCACTGTGCTTTAAAACTGGACCTCTAGAAGAGCCCTGAATAAGATCAACAGAAATCTTCAACGAAGCTCTGACCTGTGACCTATAGAAAGTTTTGGATATCTTTCCCTACGAATATTGAAATGAGGATGCCAAACTGCGCCCCTTGCCGGCCCACCTTATCAGGGACCCGAACTTTCCCACCTAGTGCCCACCTTAAATAATGTACCAATGTGTTTATTAGCATTCCTTAATTTTGTATCTTACTCATTTATTGGACTGTGTATTGCTTAAAATTCACTAGTTTATTCACATTCTAACACGCATTTTATGACTCCCACTTAGTCCCGTCCTTTACCGGCCGGTACTTGCTAGTGACTCTTGCTTTGCTGTCTTCCTAATTCTTATCCGTCTTTTCTCCTCCTTACGCGGACCTTATGTGAAAGATAGTTCTGATGTTATTGGCCCATCCGGCGTAAATTTGATGAGCCAGATAAACTACTACTGATCCAGTGTTATGGGCGATAAAGTTTCAGTCATCAGTACACTAAAATGAGATTTTGAACATTTTGAATCTGACATGTTTTAGAGTACTTATGGAATATTGTATGCATGTTAATTTACACTTTTCTCAA